ACCATTTATATACTCGTATATACTATGTACTATGTATTCGACGGTCGTATTGAATAGTACACTGTAATTTCAGAAGAAACTGTGAAAAAAACGAATATCAGTGAATAACAACAGTTCAAGTTAACAGTTCAGTTTCATTTTTAAACGAAGTTTAACATATTTTACGTTATAGGGAAATCATTACAATTAGATATAATAAAAATCAATTTTACACTCTTGAAATTAAGAACTGAATAAAATACTTAGGTTTGAATTTATAGATTACAATACTAAAGTTAATGTTTTGCTTTATACATGATATAAATGGTGAAGTTCAGATTTGAAAACTATCAACACGATTATACGTACCGATCTGAAAACAATATAGTAAAACAATTGTCAGTACAAAATACAAAATATCAGATATGAATATTTTCACGGATAAACTAATACCTCAATATAAGTTAATTTAAAACAAGGTAAATGTAAAAAATAAATGAATTAGTAATCATCGAAATATTCTTTATAACCGCTGAAAAAAAGTATAAATTGTTATCCTAACAATATATATACATATAGACATACATATTCATTTGCCGCATCAAAAACAGATAAAAATATTTGAAGGTACACAGGGGTTTTGCATAATAGTTATAAAACACTACACTAATTTATAATGCGCAGTTCAAGTATGGATTATATCAAACCGTACTTACATTTACTTTCTTTAAAGCTTAGTTATTACGGCTAGATTTGAAAATTTTATTTTAAACAATAAAAGTTAAATTTAAAATATTTTTTAACTAGGTTTTGACGCAATATATAACATTTACTATGATATTATTATGAATCAATAAATATTTAATAATATAAAAAAAATATAAACTTTATCTTATTCCCAATTTAATAGTAGGTAAACATAATGTTTATCTATAAACTATAACGAGTCATTCTTTGTAGATTTTAATTTATGTTTTCTTTCACCTGAAATAATTTAAAGCAATAAATTTTTATCACTCCATTTGTAAACACAGAATATTACGTTTAACAACTAACAAAAGCAGTGACTTATCAAATACCTATATTAGAAGAAAAACAATACTACAACAATGACGGTACCGTAAAAAATTAAAAATATGTATATTCATGACAAATACTAAATTTTTTCTTAATATAATTTGCATGATTTTTTCGTGTTATTTTTTTTTGTTAAAATTATAATTTAATAAGACATTGTACATGGAGATATATGAGTATTATATTTTTATTGTTTTTATAGTTTTGAGTATATTAAATTCTAGATTTTAAATTAATTCAAGATTAATTATTAATCAAATATATTTAAATACTTTTAATAATTCACTTATAATTTATAAATATTCTTCATTAAGAATAAAAATGGGCATTTTAATGAATAATTATTTAATTATTAAACATTAATGTATTTTAATAGTTTAAATTAAAAAGTTTACCTAAGTAAAGTGATTTTGACCTTGGAGTTGATATTTTAGAATAATGAAATATTTATAAATCTATTGTTAAATATTATCAGAAATATAAATGAAATTCAAATTAACTAACAATAAAAAAAAGACTAAAAATGTAACTATAATAGACTAAAAAACCTAAAATATGCTAAAAACGGTTAGCAATAATATTTTACTATTTGTATAGATACAGACTTATTGTAAGTGACAATAGTTGGACAATTTTTGTTTTTAATGAACTCACGTCTGCTGAACGTCATTAAACTTTATAAAAAAACAATTGGTAATTATATGAGCCAAATATATTCGGTTTTTACAAATAAGTGTCGAATATTTCAAATAATAAAATTATGCTATTTTGAGTTATTTAGAACTTACAAGTTAAGCTTGTAATGAAGTCTGTTAATAAAGTTTAAAATAGATTGATATCGTTCATAGAACCATAGATTACTGCAAAATAAAAGATACTAAAGGGGATTGGAAGCGGTAATTTGATGTACCATTTTATTACACACAAAACATAGCATGGACACCATTTAATGTTTATTTTATTAAGCTACATAAATCGACAATAATATTTTTAAAATTAAAAAATGTTTATTCACGTTGGATGTTTGAAAAAAAAACTCATGGAATTCCAATATGTTTATTTTTATCCTATAATTGTATTGATTGTATATAGGTATTAAATAGCTATTTAATTAGAAATATAATACGCTAAAATTAATATACTAGGTATGTAACAAACCTACTCAACAAATCACTCTTAAAATCTTCTAACCCTATGAAGCATGAACTTAGAACTTTCTGATCAAAGATCATTCGATTAAGTTATATTTCAGCAAATCTAGAAATATGATTGTTTTTACATTTTAATTATTAATCTAAAAATAAAAATTGACAACATGAAAAGATATAAAACTAAAAAAATGTATTAAATTGTAAGAGGTGAACATTTGAAAGAAAATGTATTTTACGTATAATTGGGGTTAAGACTCTTGGGTAACTATTTTAATTTGAAAAACGATCTTGCACACAATTTGATTCAAACTGAATCAAAAATGAATTAAGTATTTAAAAAAAATTACAGTTATTCAAATTTAAACTTTGAAAAACTAATTTTCCGAGTTTAGTAAATAAACATAACACAGTCAAAATTGATTTGATTAAAATCAAATTTAAAGTGAGTTCGGTTTTTTAATATACATTTTAGTGTGCTATCAATGAATATGCCCCGGAAAATTCTAAAAATTGATTTTTCTCTTAAAATAATTTTTTTGGTGAAATGCTTCGGAAAATTATATTGTTATAAAAATTATAATACAAAATAATTATTAAAAAAAATACATAGGTCTGTAGGTAACTGAATACAAATTATTCTGTTAAAGCAAAACATTTATAGTACTTGCTCAAAATTGAAAACGTATAGAACCTGTAAACTTATATTGACGTATAAAAGGACAATATATTTTTGGTTTAAATATGTTTATTTCAATTATTATTGTTATTGATATAATAACTATTCTAAGTGAACCTACCAATGTAATTTAATACCTATATTAATATTTTAAAGGTCATATCATTTTCTAGTCATTAACGATGAGTACATGACAAGAATAAAAATAATTAATATCATACAATAAGAATTCGTATATTAAATATTATAACTTAAAATTCATATCATTATTGACGTGACAAATATTCAATGCAGTCGCAACGACTAGGGGAGTCATGACGATGAGTCATGCATAGGGTGCAGACCAAATAGACTTACTGATCACCCTTTTATTAAACTCAAGCTTTAAATTTGGTTACTAAAATATTGTGTTGAAGTTTCACCCAAAAGAATAGTACCTTTATCCCTTTTATTTCTGTATGAAAAACATAAATCGTTTAAAAATTGTACTATATCCAAAATTTGTTTAGTTATAATTAAGATCTCTTAATAATATTTTAGTGTGATGTCCTTGAAAAATCTTAAAAAGTCTTACCCTAAATAGTAACTGTAAGGAACATAAAAAAAACTAAACATAAATTCATATTAAGCCCATGGTCATGTTTTGATTGAAGTATAAATGAAAAAATAGTTAACAACATTTAAGAAGTAAATCTAAATGTTTTTATATTAATTTTTATTTATATTATTAATACACAATCTGAATCAGCAGACATATCAAAAGCATGAGCTAAGTAACTAAAGAAAACCTGAACAATTTAATAGAAGAAGCTACCCATTCATGATACTTTCGTCTTTTATTTATTTTGATTTTTTATTATTTGATTATTTAATTATATATAGATATTTATTGTTTTTTTTTGTTAAGGATCATTATCTAGGAGGTCTCTGTACTATTTGCACTAGAGACTACGAGAAGGGTCTCCAGAGATGGCTAGTGTAGCTGCATTTTTGATAAATGTAATTAGGTGATTGTAAATCTAAAAGTTATTTAATTTTCCTAACTTTTTGTAAAAAAAAAAAAAATAATAGTTTTCTCTACCAAATTACTTACCTAAACGATCATACCCGTTTTAAGAATAAATCAAAATAACACTCTTTTTCGTAGTAACAACCAAAAATTTTAACATAGTAACATAATATTATCTATGGTATTACACAAATGATTAAAAAACTTTTTTTTTATTTATTCAAACTAATAAGAAGCTAAAGATAAATTGAAAAAACATGGATTATAGCAATACATAGATTATTCATAGTGAAACTATGCCCTCATAACTGAGATGCATTTTTTATTTTCTAAATTAAAGCAGTATATCTACGATTCAACGCCTTCGTGTTCGATTTCCAAACCTATTAATTTATTATGTAGGAACCGTGTTAATATTAATCGAAGCAATACACTTTCCTCGTTGTCTCAGAGCTGTTCTCCGACCAAAATGTCGGTTAGCGGTAGAAAACTAGAAAACATTTTCGGAAACCTATCGAATAGGTCCGAAGCGAAAACCGCGACCGCACATAACATTACCTAATAATCAATGCATTCAATCGAAGACGTATGTGTCGATGGAACAATGCACTATCGTTCTCCGACATTAGTACGCGATACACCGTACGCGGTACGTATAATATCCCATCAGGAACTACATTTACACACACACACACACACACACACGCACACCGATGAGAGATCACATGAACTTTTGTCATCGATTTGGCTGCAGTGTGTGTGTTTAAAATACGCCGTTCCGCTGCTAAAATCAAAAACGCTCGTACGGCGAGATATGGTAAAAGTGGCGCGAACGTTTCCTCCAACAGATATGATAACGTTACGCAGTGTTATCTGAGCGTGTCTAAATATAGACAATTCTGCCGCCGTCACGATTATCGACCGTCGTCGCGAGGGCGCTTTACCCTCCTCCGGTCTACCGCCGCACGGGCGCGTTCTCTCGAAAAGAAAACAAGCGACGACGACAATGACATTTTACCGGAAAACAACACGCACTTCTCTCGGACACTCGGCGTACCACCGCACGTAATAATTATAATTATGTATTTATGTAATCCGTTTCGCTTACCGGAGTATCATACTCGTCCTGCTGGTAGATGTCCTCGTTGGACGAGCGCTGGTGCGAAAACGACTGTTTCCTACCCGATTTCCTGTCAGACGGCTTTGGCGAACTCATAGTTGGTCGTAGCGCATAACCGTCACTCGCACGAGAATACGGAGACAACAAATACTTCGCACCGAAACACGACGAACACTTAATAGGTTTTACAACGGCGGTTATGTTGTTTCGATACGACAACGTGCGCACGTTAAATTTAAAAAAAAAAAAATGTAACCGAATAAAAAAAAAAAAAAACGTATTTAAAAAAACAAGCAAATACGATACAACGGCGGCGTACAACGTATAAATGTAAAAACATTCACGAGCGTGAAAATCACCACGCATTGGTTAAAACAAAATATTCAAACAATAAAAAATCATGGTCGAAAAGACGTACTCCTATTGCGCACATTGTGTGATAATTATTGATAATGAACCGGACCGCATTTTCGGCATCGGTACGCGTTTAACGGACACGACAAACGTCGGCGGCGCGTCGCGTCAACAATTGACTGGCGACGGGCAATCGTCGCACGAGCGGCGGCCGCGGCGCGTGCGTAGACAGCTGTTCGCCGCCGCGTCGCTCTCCCACCGCAGGCGCGTGGGCCGGCGGCGGCGTCGCGCGGTCCCATCGATTGAACGATATTAACATTTCGTGCGAAAAACCGAACGCGTCCCCCCGACCGGCTGAGCGCGCCCGCGTGCACCCGACGACCGGCCCGGACCGTCGGTTACGCGGACGTGATATTATTATTATTAATAATGAGTTATTTATCGTAGCAAGTGCGCTGCTGCACTCGTGTCGGGCGTGCCGTCACCCGTCCGCGAAATCCTATGCGCAATGCGCGAAAGCTACAAGACGAGGCAACGTTTTGGTCGTCCGCAGCGGACGATTCGGTTCCGCACGTGATCCGCGCAACTCTACCGAAGTTCCAGCCGTCCGATGATGGTCGTAAATCCCCAGTGCTTGATTTGGCAAAAATAAAGAAGGGGAACTCTGTTTAGTTTAAAGAAAATAGCGTCCCCAAGACTTGTTAAGCGTTACATTTATAACGTAATAATAGTAGGGGGACGCTAAAATTTCTGAAAATTAGTTGGGTTACTCCGTCCCCCTGCGTCCCCCCTCAAGTCAAGCACTGTAAATCCCACGTGATCATGTATGCGAGACGCGCGCCACCGCAGTTATAACACTTAACTACGACGCGTGTTGACGCGGATTTACGTGACAAAACGTTCGGGGAATGGTTATAGCCGAGTTTTGCGGTATCGAGACGGCAAACCGCACTGCGCCGTCGTTCGTCGTCTGTCATTATCGTTTTCACTATGCTCTCTCGACACGCGATATCAATAATAATTATAACTTACGGGTTACGGATACTGGAATACGTTATTATCACGCCTTCTTTTGAACTGCCCGTTCACCGGATACCTGCGATCATCATACGAATCACTGAATAACTCTATTCCACCTCGCCGACAATTATTATTTGTTTAAAACGTCTCGGACCGAAAGATCCGGGATTCGTCCGAATCATGGTTTCATGTCCGTTTTTTGTAAATATACAATCAATTAAAGTCTTCAACGATTCAAATAATAATCATAGTTTTATAATTATTTCACTCGGCACAAAATACATTTATGAAACTGAACTAACGTTTTAAAGCGATTTTGAAAAATTCGGTAAACTATAAAATTTGTTGATTTTTGCAACCGTATGCAACCTAAATTATATCTATAAAAAGTTTACAATTCCATTAGATGAAATTAACTATAATAACCTGGTGTATACTATGTAATAAAAAAAACCTTAAATGCACAACATATACAAACAATAATTGTTCAAAACTGTTTTATTTATTTAAACTTACAACGTGTCAACATATTACATGTTATTACAAGGTATAACTAACTTATAACAATGAAACTACTTTCTTCGAAACGGTTAATTTCAGAAACTACGTGACCGATAATATTGGTTTTTTTTTTTTTGTTTCTCCATAGATGGTTTTTAGCTTTTTAGTTATTCAACATCTTACATAATGACTTTGGAAATATTATCCGCCATTGTTCGCATTTAAGATCACATGGACTTTCCAGTTAAATTTTTTAACTCGTTGAATCCTGCTAAAATTTAATTATTATAATATTTTTTTTAGATGCACCAAAATTGTACAACGGCAATAGGATACTAGTAAAATACTAGAAAAAGACATAATTGAGGTGAAATTTCTGATTCTCTTGAAATTGGTGAAATTGTTTACATTTCAAGAATTTCAATCATAACAAGTGACTTCAATTTCCCATCTACCTGTGTTTCGATTTGACTGTTATTAAAGTGCAAGAACAAACATTAAAAAAATTACTGGCATCGATAACACAGACTCATGTTTCACCCATAATCAATTTTATGTTGCATGCTTTCGAGTAAGCTTCAATTTTTGAATAAATTTGTTGATGATGTGGAACGGTTGATCGACTTGTGATGTTTTGGTTGTAGCCTTTGCATATGTTAGTTTCTGATTGGGTAGAAGATGGGGGTGTTCATGATTTATGGCACAGGTCATTGGCGCAACTAGGTCTAAAACATTGGGAGGGCTGAAGCCCTATAAATAAATTTAGTCAATGTGAGCTATGGGGGGCTTCGCCCCCCATACCCCCATTGCCGTAGACACGGAACAACAATTATTAATTGAAATAAAAACAATCATAAAATATTATTACCGTACTATATTATTAAAAATCATGTATCTACTTCTATGTAGTATGTTTTACATAAAATATGACATAACACCACCGCAATAGTCCACCGTCATCCGTCACATTTATTAGAAAACAATATTATTATTAACTATATAGGATTGTAGGAATACAAAATAAATTATAATAATAATATTTTATATTTATGCAATTTACTTTTGAATAATTTTCTGCGTCATGTACGTCATATATTATTTAGTATGTATCTTACTATCCCGTGTTTAAATTATCATTAAATTTTAAATAATCAAAAAATTTGAGGGGGCTAAGCTCCCCTAAGTCCCCCCCCCTAGTAATGCCAATGGCACATCTGTTGGAGATACTAATATGATACTTTATAAATTAAATATTGTATTTTTACTATATAAGTTAATTATTTTTAGTAGATAAGTTTTTAAGTCCAGATCCTATCCTTACTTAACCAAAGGACAATAGTATTTTTAAGGCTCAATTCTAAACAGTGGCTGACTAACGACATATTTTTTTAAATATATTAATATAAAATTAGTTCTGATAAACAAAAAACTAAAAAATAAGAATTTAATATCAATGTATCGGATCAATCCGGAATAAATATTACTATTTAATATTTTATAACAGCACATTTGTAGTAATGTACCTATAAACTACAATAAAGTATTATTAAGTTCTGAAAGTATTGAACGGATATACTGGAAATTACATTTAGATAAACTTCTTACTGATATTTTGAATGTATAAGTTTCCATGCTACTAAGAAAAAACTTACGAATATGAAATAAATACTAATTATTGTTGAAATGAGAAAACGATTAAATTAATGGATTATGTCTACATATATTTTTAAAAGCTATTAATTATAAATAAATAAATATGAATAAAAATCATTCACATTGAACTGTGATCACTATAGAAAGTTATCGATATGGTAACAGAGTTCACACTAAATGAAAAAAACAATTTTTGAATTTTGTTCAATAATCATATTCTTGACCAGTTTTTATTTTCACTGAATAGTTATTTCACTGATTTTCATTTTTAATGTATTCATTGATCACACATAACAACAAAATATTGTGAATATATACTGAATGTCTTCATACTGTCTTTCATGTTCTACAACAGAATCAAATAAATAATTAGAATATTATATACTTTCTAAAAATGATAAAATTAAATATTTCAGGTTTTACATATACAAAAAACTTGTTCATATTATATTTTGTATAATACTTCTTCTGTGCCTTTAAATTTGATTAAACACCAAATCTCTGAAAAAAACATTATTTTAAATTTATAAAAACCTCTTGTGTTAAAAAGAATGAATAAATTTAATATTACTTATGTATGTATATACATTTATACATTATAGGATTCTCAAATAAATTAAATCCTTATTTATGATAAAATATTCATATAAAAAGTAAAATAATACATTTTGACCGCTATAAATAGTTTTAGTTTCTGAGTGAAACGAGTATTCTACTACGACTTTTAAGTGATATTTATAGATTTATATATAATATATAAATACTTATAAATATAATATATTTATACTTAAGTTATAATAATATTTAAAATTAATTTTTTTTTTCTGATTTTTTGGTGAAATGTCGGAAAAATGATTTTGATTCAATTAAAAATCTTTAAAATTTTAAATTTTAAAATTTTAAAATTCCTCACTTACTTGAATAATACGAATATCAAAGATCGAAGTTAGAATTCGTACATTTTTAATTTAAAATATTTAAGAGTACAGTATACTCCAGTGATGTTTAATCTTTTTTTCTAGGTGGGACACTTTTATAAACAAAAATCTTAGAACGGGCCACCAAATATAAAAGTACGAATAATATCAATTAAATAATATCTAATAATGTTATTTTGTTACGCATAACAAATAATAAACAATAAATATAGGTACAATATACATGTAGGTAAAAATTAAATTTGTTTTTCAAATGTTTTATTGATTACTGAAAAGATTACAGATTGAAGTACATTCTATAGGTAAAGATTAATTTGATCAGCACGCTCTTTTAAGTGTATGAGTTATATCGTGAAATTTATATTTGAAAATGTTCGAAAATGAAATTAATAAATTTAAAAAGTAACATAATTTATAATACTTTTACTTTTTTTCTCCTATTTTGTTTTTTTTAAAGCCTAGAGGGGTGTGATAGATATGTGTGCATTGGGCGTCGTGATCACTAAGCTGGCAAGCTCTTCTTTAATATAAGTAATATTACTGAAAGTTAACCTTCTTATTTAATTTATAATATTTAACTCTTTTAACGCCATGATCTGGACGCGTAATCGACATCATAAACATTGTCCTGATCGGCGGTGTTGTTAGTTTATTTTTAGTATTGATGTTTATTTTTTCTACGAAATAACAACGTCTTTGATAAAAAGTTAACAAAAATATACCATTTATACTATATTATTGTTATTGCTTCAAATAATTAATTTAATAACATTACTAACATAAATGAATGTCGATTCAAACGAGTTGTACAATTTATTTTGAACCCATCTTCCATGTTCAGTGGTATTCGTGATGAATTTTTCGCTGTCATCCTCATAATACCGTATTATTTTGTGTCAGTGGTTCCTCGTAATCAGTGATTAGGCTCTGCCAAGGCTTACGCAGTGGTCCAGAAGGCTGGGGATAACCCGTTAGGCGCAGTATAAGAAATTTACCTGAAAGTTGTTGACACGTTTGGGCGCATATATGAAAACACCTTTGGGCACAATAGGTTCTTTAACTAGTAATCGAAAGTC